TGGATGAACAACTCGGCGAGTCCGATGAAGATTTCCGTAGACTCGGCGAGTTGGATGAACAACTCGGCGAGTCGGTTAAGGTTTCCCCAAATTGATGAATGTGTGTGAACTTGTCGAGTTGCTAGAAGGAAAACTCGACGAGGGGCCGGAGCGCTTCGATCGCGGACCTTAGGAACTCGACGAGTCACTCCGAGGGCTCGGCGAGTGGACAAGTATATCGAGGAACTCGGCGAGTAGCCGAGGGTACTCGACGAGTAAGGGTCAACATAGACTGTTGACCTTGACTGTTGACTTTGACTTTGACCAGGGGTTGACTAGTTGACTTATGGGGTACCTTGAAAGGTTGAAGAACTTACGAGTATGATTCTAATATGATAATAGGTGGTGGAGTTTGTGGCCGTGATCTGAGAGTTGGAGTTTAGTTACCGAGCCGACTTTCGCAAGGTGAGTTATCCTCACTATATCAATAGGGTCTAAGGCACCAAGGCCGACCCTTTTAGTTGTTATCTTGGTTACAATATGCTACATGTGGTTATGATTAGTTAGATCAGTATAAGGATAGACATTATGTTGTTATGATCTTATGATCCGTTAGGATTGGTATGTTAGTGACCTGGTTAGGTCGGTGCTCTGGTTAGGAGAGATTGCTATGATCGATGATCTGTGAGATAGTTATATCTGATATCTGTATATGCTAGTATATGTTAGTCTTGTGCACATGGTTATTGGCTTGATGTTTGGGTTGAGGCGGTCCTGCTTTGTGCTGAAGGCCAATATACCCTACGAGCGGTCCGGGTAGACTGTAGGCCCGTATGGCGGTCCAGTCATACCGAAGGCTCGGGATAGATCCAGATAGACTGTAGGCCCAGTCGGGCGGTCCAGTCAGGCCGAAGGCCCAGTATGCATGTTGTTGATTATCTGTTATTGATATGGTATTATCGGTGTGGTATTGGTATTTTGGGGGTAGCTCACTAAACCCTCGGGCTTACAGTTTCAGTTTATTGTTTCAGGTACTTCAGGAGATCATGGCAAGGCGAAGGCGTGACCGTACTGCTCCGCATCCTTATGATTTCGTTATTGGGACACTCTGATGAATAATATTTTGAAAACATTTTTGTAAAACACTATTTGGTTTTATGGTTGAAAAAGTTTAAATTTGGCTTAAAATTTTGGGATGTTACACTATAAGAGTTCTATCATCTTAAAAATGAAATCTAATGATCATAAAAATCACTATTTGTTACTTATTTGTTACAATTTCTGAAACTTTGGAAATAGAATTAGTTAGTTATTTGGTTATTTGTTAATCGTTGTAACATCCCTATCCTTATCCCTATCCCTAACAAAAGCCTCTCTAAACTGCCACATGGCACCTTTCTAAGCTATGTTTTTGCCACATGGCATTCTTATGTTAACCCTATTTTTTTTCCCGCTGCTCTTCAATATTCAATTTCATTCCTAGAAACTAGAAATAAGGAAACATAAATATGTGGGGATCCTTCTTCAAATCAGCAACGTAGCATTAATGGTAATCCTATTAAATCCAAAATAATCAGGGAGATGGTTATTTTAAATCCCACAAAATAGCAACGTCGTCGTTTGCTTGCTTCCATCGCCACCATCACTCTTTTTTAGGGTTCGCTACCGCTATATTTCCATTGTTTGTTGTTGACATTGTTTCTAATAACTCTCATAATCCCTGATTATCTGGGACTGAAAATTAACAATCTTTTCGGTTTTCTAATCGACTGCTATAAGGAAAGAGTTTATTATGGTCATCGCTCAATCACTTCCGTCATACAACCTTCACTACCACAAACCACCCACCAGTCCATTCTCTCTCAAAACCTAACACCGCTAACCGTTATTTTGCCGCCTTCACCATCATGTGCAGCCGTCAACATGAACACCATAGACAATGGTTTTTTCTAAAAACCATATACCACTAACGCTCACTGATTTCGTCGTCACCATTTTGGTCTTCCATCTCCATATCTTCCGAATCATGAGCATGGGCATAAACAATCGAGATTAAACATAGAATTGACCTCAAGTTTATTTTTCAAAAACCTACAGGTTAACAAAGGTTCTCTTAAATCATTTTTTAAACCCTTGAATACTTTTATTTTGTGTTCTTTGGATTATTTTTTGTTCTGCCTTTCGTTTGCCATTGATTTACCCTGTTTTTAGTTCCAATCAATCCTTTCATTATGGAACGCTATTGTTGAATATTTAGTCTTATATAGGACGAAACAATAAAAATGATTCACCCTTTAAGCCAAATGTATTGCAATCTATTTTACAAATTGATGGCTTTTCTGTAATTCATGAAATGTTATTTACCCTTTGTTTCAGATGTTGTTATACACATTGATTATCCCCATATGTTGCTCTTTTCTTATATCACACCTATTGCTCGATAATGGAAGGAAGAATGATCTGCTTCTTTGTTTTGCATCTTATGAACGAATCTCTTAAGACTTGAATTTGAAATCTTGATCTCCTTTAAAAAGACAAAGAAATTTTGATTTCCCTTTCGCAATATCCTCGAGATTATCGTCACATGTTCTACTTCCTCAAATCTACTTATTTTCAAGCTTCTTGACCATATTAATAGTAGTTACTTCAAATTTTATCCATCCACTTAAACCAGTTTTGTATTCTTCCAGGGATGCTCTTTTAATATTTACAATTTTCGTAATCATCCAACCAGTTCACTTATGAGGTATATCACTCTTTTGAGTTTTATTTTGGATTATTTTTTATAACATTATTGCATTCTTGACTTTTTTTTGCTTTATTGTTGAACATATGTTTGCAGGTTATACTTTACCAGACTCGTGGTGATTCAAGAACCAGTTAAACCTACTAACTCTGATTAGGGCATCTAAAAGGTAATCTATTGCTTTTGACCTTTTTTCATGCTACCTGTATTACCATATGTTCTCTATGTAACTGTGTGTGATGTTGCTAACTACTTCTTCTCTACCATCTTGGTAGATGTTATTTTAATACAATTAGCTATATTAGACTTGCCTAATGATAACTATAATGTTTTTTTTTTTCGAGTTGTAACTTACAAAACTATCTTCGATCATCAATACATATTTTATATTACGATTGTAATATTAGGTCTGACAATTTAAATCGAAAGCAAAGGAGAAACTATGTAGATTTACAAAAAATCTCTTGTGGTATTCACCTAAATACTGAAGAATCATTTTGAAGGTCGGTCAAACATATGTTGTTTCCATGTAATTCTTAGTAGATCTAAATTTTTAGATAATTTTTTGGCTAAAACAAGTTTACTTTGCACTTTATAGGCGTTGTGAATGGCTCTAGAAACTATAATTTATTATTAAACATGATGAATATTCTAAAGTAGAGTATGTCATTGCTTTTAAAAAATGATGCGATTGTTGCTGACTCATCATCATCATCTGAGAACACTCAGCTTGAAAGCAAGGGTTCTTGGCTTTTTTAGTTTTATCAGTTTCACATATAAAAGATAGATTAGAAATTGGTATGTTTGAAAGGATCTAAAATGGTGAAATTTAATATTTTTATAATGCAAAATGTAATCCCATTTTAATTTTGGTTATATTGTTGTTTTGATGTGCAAATTTATAGAGTTTGGAGTGACCATAGATAACATACTTTGAGCTCCTATTCTTTTGTTTACATTGATGTTTCATAAAATGTAGAAAATGCAGATCTTATTTCTTGTACCTATCAACGATACAACCTAACGAGCATCTTATATAATTGTTATTCTTATATTCAATGTATCAAATTAAAATTTTTCATAGTAAACTATTATGTTTTTCTTATTAATCGTGATTTAAATAAAATTATATATTTCTTATAACCATTTCAAATATTATTTATAAACAACGATGATAAACTTACCAATATGCATCAATCATTATATATAAAATTTGTGACCAATTATATTATTAAATAATTTTTCTTTTCTTATCGTATAATTTTTTTTATCGTCAACCGTGTAGCACACGAGTTATAACCTAGTTATTTCAATAGTTAACCAATTTTTTTTAAATAGATCCAAACGTCTACATAGACATGCCCAAGTAATCCACATTATACACATCATACAAAAAGGCATTGACATTAATGAATCAACACGAATAAAGAAAAGTATAGTATTGTTGAAGATTGGTTGACTCCAATTCTCCAAAAACAACCAATGAATCAACACAAAGAAAGAAAGAAAGGTATAAATTTAAAATTTTTAATGCACACATCACTGCTCATAACCATACACAAATTTTTCATCAAAGATCCATCAAGTATTAATTGATCCAATCATTCTCTTAATATTAGTTTCTTGATATATGAATATGAATAAGATCATCAAATTTAATCTATGTGGCCATATCTCTAATCTATTAAATTTATAAAGGGTTCGATGTCACACTCAAACAATTATCATCATAATCCTCTTATATAGAGATTAGTTCAATTCTCTAACACAACAAGTGCATACAAGTTTATAGCAAGGTCCTTTAATATGAAATTCGTAACGATTGTATGTGAATTGATAATAGCTATTCATCACAAATACCAAATATGATCCGTGAGTCCAAGACAAAGGCCCTTTACACTTTACAGTGTCATTAGTAACAGTTGTATGAGAAAGATTATAGTTGTAATAGCTGACGGTTATAAGTTATATAAATGCCATGAGAAGAGTTATTGATATATTTTTGTCAAAAAAAAAAATATCAACGAGTGAACAAAAGATATTTTGTTTATATTTATAGTCCTTTTCTAAGTTCTAATTTCTTTTTAATAATAATAAACCACCAAAATTATTAATATTATAAATTATAAATGCTATAACCAATCACGTTTTAAATTATTAAATATTATAAATTATAAATTGTAAATGCTTTAACAAATCACGTTTTAAAATAATCATTTTTCTATTCCTTTGTCGTTGTAATGGAATCCCCCACTTTATTATTCTGTCCTCGCACACCAAAGTGACCAAACATTCAATTGCACCTAACATTTTTAGCAAGATTCCACACTTTCCACCTCTATATTATCCACTATACACCAAGCATCAAGAGAGAGTGAGAAAGTAAAAGAGATGACGGAAGTGAGAGCAGACGGAGGCTCAGCCGCAACAGCTGCTGCCGGAGGATCACCGACGGTCAAATCGATCTTCATTCATCCAATTAAATCATGCAAGGCCATTTCCGTTTCACAAGCACCCCTTTCTCCCACCGGTAAACTTCGTCCCTCCAGTTTCAACTTTCAATCCTTTGCAATTTTTATACATGCAGTGAAAAATCCAATCTCCAAATTCAGTAGAAAAGATTCAATTCCACCTAAAAGTTTAGATCCTCTGGATGCAACTCGTAAAAGTCATTAATTTTCATTACGTGATTTTGTTGTTCAACCCAAAAGGGGTTAAACTTGTCCCGATTTTACCTCTGTAGCTTGCTTAACCAGGTGCTACTTTCTGCATGTTCACTTGCACCTCTGCTAACAGCATATCAATCAATAAATTTGTTAGATTTTATTTTGATACAGGGTTTGTGTGGGATCGTCATTGGGTAGTTATAAACTCAAAAGGCAGAGCGTGCACTCAAAGGGTTGAACCAAAGCTTGCTCTAGTTCAAGTGGAGATGCCCATGGAAGCTTTCTCTTTGGATTGGGAGCCCAAAAAAACTTCTTACTTGGGTATATCTTTCTTCCTTAACAAAACTAAAAACTTTCTTACTGTTTCATCAAATTGCTTCTCTTCCGCATCACCAAAAAGCGATGTCATCACTAAATGTCACAAATTACAAAATTTAATAAGAATGTAACAAAAAAAATTCTAAATTTCACAAGCATTTTCCCATTCATTTTGGTGGAAGAATTGATTTGATATTGTTAGGGCAGTGGTACGTGGGCCCGGGATGACTACCGAGCTCAAGATCTCATTAACCAAACCATCATTACGGTCAGATGGGATTTCGGTCTGGGAGTGGTGCGGGTCAGCCTTGGATGAAGGAGACGAGGCTGCAAAATGGTTCACTGAATTTCTTGGAAAACCTACCCGATTGGTGCGCTTTAATGAAGGTAAAATCCATCACATTTTTTCAAAATATGTTTTTGGAAATTGATGTTGATGCATAATAATATAGAAATTAACTTGTGTTTTTTGTATGTAGAGACCGAGACTAGACCGGTTGACCCTTTATTTGCTCCCGGATTCAATGTTAAATTTACAGATGCTTTCCCCATCCTTTTAGCATCCCAGGTTAGCCCTAAAGCTGGCTTTTTGTTATTCAAGAAGAGGGTATTTACGTCTTTTTTCACATATAAGAGATCTAAACAAGTCTTTCTTCCACCTTTTTGGATGGGAAAAGAATTGTAATTTTGTCCCAATGCACCCCAAGGCAGTACAGTACAACTGGTTCTGTCATGTGATGTCATAATTGTAAATGTTGAATTCTGCAGGCCTCTTTGGATGCTGTGAATGAACAGTTAAAAGAATCCGTCAACATAAACCGGTTTAGGCCCAAGTATGTCTTTCATTACATTGTTTTAAAATTTTATCTGGATAATGAAATTTAAAATATTTGAGAAAATTACAGCCGATTTGGGAAACACTTGAAAAAAAAAAAAGAGTCTTTCTGCATTAAGTCAAAAGTACTAACAATTAACATATCTTTGGCTTTTGCATAACGAATTTCTCATGCAGCATCTATGTAGATGGTTGTGAATCGTTTGCTGAGGACCTCTGGAAACATATCAAAATTAACGGGTTAACTTTTAAAGGCGTCATGCTTTGCCCACGTTGTAAGGTATTGCAATAAGTCGATAACACATTTGTCATATTAAAATATATTTTTTTATTATTTTGAAAAGTTGAACATGTATATTCATTTAATTCAAAAACCTTTTCTCAGGTGCCTACAATCAATCAAGAGGACGCGACTGAAGGGAGTGAACCAACTGCAACCATGATGAAGTTCCGATCGGCCAAAGTCTTGGAAGTGAACCCCACAAAATACAAGGGCAGGGTGAGTTACATGTCCCCACATTTTATCCTAGTTGTAAGAAAGTAAGAATCCATGTGTATAATCTTCCTTATTCATTTAAATGAATAAAATTTGTAGGTTTACCTTGGGCAAATGATGGTGTGCGAGAATATTGATAATGGTTGGAGAAAGGTTATCAATGTTGGAGATGTTATTCATGTGGAAGAGGCATTTGCATCGTATGCAGATGTTGCAGTTTAATATTTATTGTTGGATAGTTGCGGACTTAGAGACTATAAGTTTGTTGTCAATATACATCATGACAACCGTTTTAAGATTGCCTTTTTATTCTATTTCTTGATTAATTGGGCTCTAGCATGAAGAAATGTATGAATAATTTCAGGAAATAAAAGAAAATTATTGCAAGTTTCTGTTAATCTCGAGGATTTATCACGCGTATTTTCCCATAATGGATACCAATTCTCTTTCCAAGTATAAATAGTTACATAATACCAACATTGACTTAGCACTACAACACATAACAAATAATATATAATATATGAGTCTAATATACATATATACAAACTAATATTCCTCCATGCTTTTGAGCGGGAGGCTGCCAAAGTAGATCTAAACCTTTGACCAAAGAAGCCGGGAGTTGCAATTAAGTAAAGGACAACAAAAGAAAGTTTTTTTTTTCTTGGAGCAGCATCAACCAATAAAACTTTTTATTATTTGAAGCAGCATCAACCAAGGAAAGTGTAATACAAACATTTTCATAAACAGTAAAATGCAATTCTTTTTAGCGACTCTACTCAGGCTCGCAATCAATTAGAACTTGGACTACTGAATCCATTGTAGGCCTTTTATTTCTGTCTTCGTCCACACAACTTACACCAATCTCAACAAGTTTTACAGCTTGCTTCCTACTAAACAATCCTCCCAACCTCGAATCAATCATCTCTTCAGTCCATGACTCCATTTCTTCTCCTTGAAGCTTCGTTTTCATGACCCTTACAAACCTCATAAGCTCGGTTTCTTCCTCTTCCCCTTCCTGAACAACAATATTAGAAAGTCGAATTCCCCTTGCCATTTCTAAAACAACAACCCCGTAACTGTAGACATCAACTTTCGCTGTGATAGGAAGGTTGCTAGCCCATTCTGGAGCCATATATCCTTTTGTTCCTCTAATCCTAGTAAACTCCGAGTTTTGACCACCTCTTTGAGTCAACTTCGCCAGACCAAAATCTGCAATCTTTGCTTCGAACGTCTTATCTAAAAGAATGTTTTCTGGCTTAGCATCACAATGAATCACCCATTCTAGGCACTCATGGTGTAAATAAGCCAAACCCTTTGCTATCCCGATGGCAACTTTAAACCTTTCTTTCCATTGAAGAACACTCGAGGAGAACAATCTTTTGTCAAGAGATTGATTTTCTACATACTCATAAACTAGAAGTTTGTGTTTTCTCTGAGAGCAGAATCCCCACATTCTCACTAGATTCATGTGATTGATTTTACCAATGGTGCTGACTTCTGTCCAAAACTCACCACCTTCTTCGCTCACATCTCCCAGTCTTTTCACAGCCACCACCCTTTCGTCTTCCAGAATCCCTTTATACACAACTCCTGATCCTCCTCGGCCTATCTCCTCCTTAAAGTTCTGTGTCGCCTTCAACAGCTCTTTATAACTAAACCCTCTAAATTGACTAGATACCATACGATACCCTTCTTCTAGGCTGTTTACCAATGCGTTGTTTCCATAAAATATCCACCAGCCCAATAAGATGACCAAAGCTTCAACTAAACCAATAGCTAAAGCAAACGAGTAAAGATAAACCCACTTCACCTTTCCAGCAGGTGATTTATACATAGATGGAGAACCCAACATGACTGGGACTTTTGTACATATGGCCTTTGAACCATTAAGGATTGAGGCAGATTCGGGAGCTTCCATGCCTATTGGTACTTTGAAGTACATGGTTGCTGGGAAACTAGGATACTGGTATCCATTGAAAAGGTCACTTTTAACATAGCATGTACCTTCACCTGTTAGCCTGTAACCAAATGTTTCACAACGACAATCACCCAAGCAGATGTCTCTACACGATTCAAACGAAATGCGCGATGAGAAATTTAGATCAAAGCCGTAGTAATCGGTATGTTGCATCGGCACAAATCCAAACGTTGCTGACTTTCCACATGTATTGCTGAAAGTAGGCTTACAACCTTGACCTAAATCATTAGGGTCACTCCACTCATAGTGTGGTGGACATGAACATTCAGGTTTGTCTCCATAAACACAAATCCCGTTTCTCCCACAGATTCCATGAATATTACAGGGTTGTGATATAGCTTGCCACGAGATCGACCATAATCCTGTCGACTCATTCAAGCTATAAAATCTGAGATTACCATCATAGTCCATTGTCAGCCTCCTTCTGATCCCAAAACCCATATCTGAAGAATTAAATTGCAACCCGTCGCTTGAGTTAAACACACCGAGATCGTTAAAGAATGCGTATCTGCTATTGTTAAAAGGGGTTCTTCCATAGGCCCAAACATTAAAACTTGGATCAGGACTAGGCCAGTAGACACTTGATATTTCTGGGCCATCGTAAAACATTGTTAAAACGTTATTACTACCATAGCTCAAACTAAAATACCCAGGTTGAAAACTTTCTTTTCTGAAAGCAGATATCAAGCTTTTGCTCCTTGTTAATGATTGAGAAGGCAAAAGAGTATCAGTTGGATAGTCAAAGCTTTGCCAAAGAATCTGATCTTTGTTGTTCATAAGTACTAGATTACCTGTATTAAGCAGCACTGCTCTATCTACATCCGTGGACGTTGGGTTGGTCTCCCACACAAACGTGCCATCCACATCGGTCAAAACCATGGCACCATTTGTCTCAAGTGTTAACTTTGAGCCATGGCCATTGACAGGTTTGTTGCTGTTTGCAGTCCAAACCACAGTACGTTCTTTGGAGTTTGTATACCAGATTGCAAACCAGTAAGCATTGGTTTGAAAGCCATAGAAGCCGCAGGTAAAAGTGTTGTCAGGGGAGGTTATGAAGTGTGAATCATCATCTACGGAGAGAAACGAGCCTCTATAAAGATGATCCTGAATTGTGTTCTTTGATACGGAAGATCTCATTAAGCAACAGAAGAGGAGGAGAAAGACTCTTTTCGTCATGCTTGGCTGTTTAATTCTTTCAGTAAACAGCTTACTTTGTTTAGTGAAGAGCGAAGACTTTGCGTTTGGAAGTGTTAATTATTTATTCGGGGTAGGGCGTGCATGTATCACCTGAATCCTTGTATTTTACATTTCTTAATACTAACGACTTTGTTCTATGTGTTTAAAATTTGTTATATTAGATACAATGAAAGATTCTGACATGAAATATATTATGAATTATCATTTATGTCCTAGTTGGTGGTAATTTCTTTTATTATGTCAACGGTTCATTAATCTATTCTGTTTCTAATCAGAGCCACATTTTGTCAAACTTAGTATAAATGTTTCCATGTGTGTTTCGTAGATTTTTAGCATTTTGGTTATATTAATGAGAAAATTACAAATTTGGTCATTTTCCTTAATTATTTTGTAAAAAATAGCAAAAAAAAAAACCTCAAATTACAAAAATAGCCACCAAAATCGCAAATAGATTAGAGCCATCTGCGATTTTTGCATTTGATCTGCAAATGTACAAGTATTTAAAGCGTGGACATGCATTGACAGTTATACGTTCACACATGGACATACGATTTTGTGCATTTTTTTTTTAATTTTGACTACGAAAAATGATAGGGTTTGACTACAATTTTACATGAAATCGTCCATAGCTACCGATTTTCGCCTCCAAAGAGAGTTCTTCCAACAAAAACCTTGCAAAATGAAAGCTCAAAAAAATTAAGGTATTTATACCCTTAAAAAGTCAAAATCGCAAATTAACTAATAAAATCGCAGATGGACTGAGTCCATCTGCGAACATACAACTGTCAATGCACGCCCACACTTTAAACACTTGTACTTTCGCAGATTAAATGCCGACATCGCAGATGACTCTAATCTATCTGCGATTTTGGTGGCTAATTTTGTAATTTGTGTGTTTTTTGGCTATTTTTTGCAAACTAATTAAAGAAAATGACTGAATTTGTAATTTTCTCTATATTCATTCATGTTCATTTAGCCATGTACGAAACTACAAATCTAGATGGTCACTGCTAACATATGAATGAATTACGACAACACTTATTTTATTAATTACCGACACTGTCATAAAAATAAGACAAAATTACATAAATGGTCATTGTGGTTAACCAAAGATAACAACTTTTAGTCCGGCTAATTTTTTTGATAAACAATCTTGTGGTTTCTAAAACTTTGGGCCACATGAAATGACTTATTTCTCATTTTCAAAACTCTTTTATCTTTTTTTATTTAACAAAAAATGTTTTAATTTAAAAAGGACAATTATTATCTAACATTTTATTAAATTATTTCTAAATCTTTTTCAATAAAGAACGTTTCCATTTTCCCAAAAATTCACCAAAATTATATTTGTATATTTATGCAAATCAACTACCCAAGATCCCTAATCTTTGACTTTTCTCATTTAAGAACTAAATCGAAGCTTATCATCATCATCAATGACAATTACCAACCTAGTTTCTATATTTTCATCCAAATCACTACTTGATTTTGTTCACACCCATATGATTAAGCAAAGAATATTCGATAACACCTTCAGCCTGTCGACTTTTTCTCCATCCCAGACATGTAATGCCTTACGTCGTTTTTATCATTTCCAGCATCATCTCCATTAACTTGTGGTTGAAGAACTCACAATTCGCACCACCACTTTGCAGTTCCGCTGCATGTGGTGGTGCCGAAGACTCTTCTGGGAACTTTTGTTTCAGTTCAGATCTAGGTAAGGACAAGCTTAAAGAAGTCGGTGGATCATTCACAACCGGACCATTGTTTTGAAGACGATGAGTCTCCTTCCTCCTTTTCTCTCTTTCTTATTCACCACTGAATCGCATGAACACTACCAATGATAGGATTCAAGTTTATCGAGACACATCCCATAGATTTACTTGCCCTACCAAACGACTTCGTTGCCACCGTGACCATAAATCAATTCATCTATTTCAACCGCCCCTACCAAACCTTAACCTCCACCCCCCATCTCCACCGTCACCACCTCATCAACCAACAAACTACACCAACAAAAGACAATCTAGCCACTACCAAACTGTTGGATTAGGTGTCTAAGCCCATAACTATAATTGGTATATACTTGAATTGATAGTAGCATAGTCCTTTAGGGTTGCCTTCAAACCTGACAATTGAATAGGATGACTGTTAGAGAGAGAAAAGTGATTTATTAATTTATTACTTGGTTAATAAATTAATTAGAAATCAAAATAAATGATTTATTAATGTATTATTGAAATAATATATTAATTAGAAATCATCTTGTTTAATTAATATTTAATCAGAAATTAATTTGGAATTAATTTTGGGGTTAAAGGAATTAATTAAAACTGTAGGGACTAAAGGTGACAATGTTCAATAATTGAACATTGGACAATTCTAGAACCTCCCTAATGAGGGGGGAACGAAATCTAGAGCATCTCTAGGGTTTCCTTAGGCTCTAAGGGTGCCTTGGATGCCTTAGGGAGGAAGTTAAGAGATTAGGGTTATCTTGGATACACCGACCTTATCCAATACCTTCCTAACACCTATATAAACCCTCCTTAGGGTTAAATTTCGGTTATGACTCTTCTAAGAGCCTAAGGGTTGAAATTTCTCTTCTATAACTCTCTATCTATAGTTTTCCTTAGTTGCTTGAGTTTGTTTGTGAACCATTAGATGCACGACACTTGTGTCGCTTGCTACTAAAGGTCTTTTAAGCAAGGATTCAAGATTGTTTACAATAACGATTGTAACATCCTGACTCCCATGTATGAAATTTTAAGGATTTATGTACATCACACAAGACCTACTCGATGAGTTGGAGGCCCCAACTCGTCGAGTAGAAACTAATAAAGCCGCATGGTTTTGGAACCTACTCGACGAGTTGGAGGACCCGAACTCGACGAGTTGAGGCTGTGCATGAAAACCCTAATTTTTAGGGTTTGCACCCTATTTAAAGGACCTTAAGTCCCCTCACCAGCCTCCCTTACCACCTTATCGTCCAGAGAGAAACCCTAGCTGTGCTTTACTACCTCCTTGAGTGTGTGTGAGTCTTGGAGAGTAAATCTTGTGTTCTTTTGGAAGGAGATTCGAAGATTGAAGAGATTGGAGTGAAGAGGAGGCTATAGATCCGACATCTACTCTGTTTTGGCAACCATCTTGAGGTATGAAGTTGATACCTTGACTTCTTATTGCTTACATCTCCTCTTATGAAAGTATATGGTCATTTTTGGTGCCAAATGGAGTCATTCTCGGATTTGAGCTTGTCAAGAGGATGTGGTTTCAGATCTGGACACCTCTAGGCCTCCATGAACATAAATTTGCCCACTTTATCTAGTCTTGGCCCTTCTCCATGCCTAAACCTCTTATTAAGCTTACTTTTAGTGGTTTAATCCCTTTGATGCCTTGCATGCGCGTAAAGTTAGCAACTTTACGTGGTATCTCAGTCCTAAGGGGCTAGGTCTGAAGTTTGGGGCCTTGGATTCGACTGGAAAGGGCTGAATACGTTAAGACAGGAAAACTCGACGAGTTGTGTAGCCAACTCGATGAGTTTGTGAGTGTTTTCCCGCTTTATGGATGATGAAGAGCTCGACGAGTTACTCTGATGACTCGGCGAGTTGTATCGAGCTTTTCTCGGCTTTCTGAACATTGAAGGAACTCGGCGAGTTGCTAGATGCACTCGACGAGTTGAGTCAACATGGACTGTTGACCTTGACTGTTGACTGTTGACTGTTGACTTTGACCATGGTTGACCAAGTTTGACTTTAAGGGTATTTTGGTAATTTGGGATTTAATGGAATTAGTCATAAGGTGGTTATAGGCAGTTAAGTTTAGAGCTGTGAGTTGGGATTCGTTTTATCGGTTCAGCACTACTTGTGAAGTGAGTTTTCCTCACTATACTCAAGGGTCGAAGGCACCTGAAACATCCCAAAAATATAGACCAAAAATTTCTTTTAAAATCATTTATGAAAACCATAATCCATTCGTATCATAATAAAACCACAAGTCATGTATCTCAAAAACATCATCAAATCTATCAATGTATTAAAATCATATATAATAAATCAGAGTGAATCCTCCCAGGCTAAAAACAATGGTGTTTGCCATGCAGTCATCCCGAGCTCTTCCCCTTGCTACCGGAAGTACCTGAAACCAAAACTGAAAACTATAAGCACGAAGCTTAGTGAGTCTCCCCAACTACCACATACCATACACATAACACATAAACATATCTTGGTCCCCGCCCCTGCTACATCGAGTCAAGCTCGGCATCGGCTTTCCCGGCATCGGGCCCCGCCCGACATCGAACCCTATTCGGCATCGGGCCCCGCCCGACATCGAGCAAACCTCGGAATACATAAGAGCAAAATCAATAATACACATAAAACTAAGCACATAACATTAACACTTAAACATACCTCGGGACCCGCCCGACATCGGACCGTAATCCGGTAACATACTAACATTCCTCGGGACCGCCCCGACATCGAACCGAAGTCCGGAAACACACAATACAACACATGCAAGAATCAAGAAGACATCAAGCATACAAACATTCCTCGGGACCGCCCCGACATCGGATCGAAATCCGAAAAACATATAAACCTACATCGGGCCCTGCCCGACATCGGACCATAGTCCGGTACTACTACTAGCTATACGGGCCGGCCTTGGTACCTTAGACCCGTTCCTACTGGAGGTAACTCACCTCGAATGCTAGCTGTGCAATCTCGTGTGAGGAATCTCTGACGGCTGCTCCAACGACTCCTCGACTATCAATTTCACAATAACACTTAATCAAAACCTGATAATCCTTCTTAGGGTAAAATGATCATTTTACCCCTGATCAAAGTCAAAGTCAAGGTCAACTCCCAGTCAACCCAACTCGTCGAGCTATCTCCCAACTCGGCGAGTTCCTGTACTACTCAGACTCGTGGTCAACCGAGTTAACTCGTCGAGTCCCTTCACAGACTCGTCGAGTTCTACCTGGCATA